CACTTACAGACACATACACAAAAGCACAACCATCATGTCGATGTCAGCGGCGCAGGCGAGGACAACTCTTAAAGAGGTAATGCAATACGTTGAGGAAGGCATCCACTACGATGACGATGGGGAGCTTGAACTACTAACGGAGAGAGTGCCCAGCTACTTCGAAGTCAGAGTGAACATTCGTGCAAGCATCGCTGCGAACGGAGAGGAGTCGCTCAGAGCACGGATGCTATTGGCACGGTTCACAGAGGCGCGTGATTTGCGTGTAGACGACAGTGTTGATACCGGTGCATACAGCTTGAGAAAAGTGGTTGGTTGGATGTGCACAGAAGGGATGTCTGCTGAAGGGAACGTGGATATGACAAAGCAGCAGCAGGGCGGAACATACACAGCAGGTGATTTCAAGAAGATGCTCATGACACAGGCGAGGAAATGGAGAATGCTTGTTGAAGATTCTAACGACGAGCTAAAGAGCGGTGCAACAGAAATTCTGTTGCTGTCGCGTTTGAAGGACATACCGCAAGCTCCCCCGCAAGACTTCCAAGATCTTCCAGTCATTATTGCAAACGGGGTGGAGTATGTTTTACTCGACCAGCTGGTGGATTTCATGCAAAAGAGTCCTCAGGATCGGAATGTCATACATGAGGCATTGCATGATGTGACAGAGCAAGCACTGGCGGGCAAGGACCTCGTTAACTACAAGGTGCGGACTGTGGAAGAGGATGTCATATATGGAACTCTATTATGGGATGGAATATTCATGGAAGCTTTGCATCGCCTCACCATTGCGACTTCTGACGTGGACAGAAAGAGGTCAAGGGAGGAAGGATGCAAGTTGATCGCCAGGGAAGCAGATGTTGCACTTCAAGCTGCAGATGGACACACTTCATCAGGGGAAGAAATTGACAGAACAGTCTCCTTCGTGCGTGGGAGCATCATCACAGTGTCCAGGGAGGAGGTTGAAGAAGAAGATGTGTTCAATGAGTGGACAATGATAGAACAATAACGGCGACGATGGTTCGAAGACTCTTCTTTACCAATCGATTTTGACTATGACATTGAAGAAACAACAGTGAGGAACAATGAAAAAGATGTGAAGCCGCCAACATACGAGGTGGAAGTGAGTGGCAGCGATGTGAGCAGCGACGAGGAGGGTGAGGAGTATGATGCGTACTGGGATATTGAATCAGGAGGAGGGCAAGTATCTAAAGGGTGGGCACATGCGATTCTCAGGTTGGCACGTGTTTTCCGTAATCCCCATTTACTGTTGCGTGTCGTACTGAAGGAGGCAACACCTGACGGCGCACTCCAGTATGCAGCACTGACGACCATTATGAGATCATGCTCGAATGGAAAAAGATGGTCACGTATGGGGAAGAATTGGTTTGTCTTGGTCAACAGAGAGGCTGTCCTCGCAACCTCGTTCACTTGGGGCATGGACCTTAGTTGCCTACTGCACGGGGCTATAGCCAGCGGTTTTGGTGCTACGTTGCACCCGGCACTATCAACAGGAGAGGATATACTTCGTGCTCACACATGGCTTGGCTGCGCTTCAGAGACCATGATGGACAGCGGGGATACAGACATTGGTGGTGGACAACGTTGAATGCAATTGTGCGTTGCACAGGCATTTTTCTTGTTTGACTAATTTTGCTATTCACAGACAGAGTTTGTGAGGTATTTGAAGTGTTGGAGTGCTCCACAACGGTGTACAAACTAAAGTTTTCTCTGTCTCTCTCTCTCTCTCTCTCTCTCTCTCTCTCTCTCTCTCTCTCTCTCTCTCTCTCTCTCTCTCTCTCTCTCTCTGC